ATTGGACGGATGCTGCTGCACTTAAGCGCAAAAAAAAATTATGGGCAATAGATAAAATTTAATTTAATTAAATTGAAAAGCGACCTGCCGATTCCTCACTAATCTACATTACCAGACCAGACATTGTTTCGATGTTATATATTTGGAATAGCACGAAGATACGATCAGCTACAAAGGTAGGAAGATATCTGCATCGTTTGTAAGCCGGCGATACCCGAAAGAATTACTTATGCAATATCATTTGAATCTGTCTTAAACAAATAGACACTGCTCATTATACTATACCTGATTAGGCGTTGCCCAGATTATACTAGTGCCACATCACATTAGTGTTGGCTTCTATTTTTCCTATCGTTCTCGTTAATATCATCGTCCCATCGCCCGTAAGGCTTTGGGGACGGGTAACGCGTAACATCTGATTTTATACAATTAAGGTGGTCTCTATAGCTAGTCCCTTAATCATCCAGTCTAGTCGGGAATGTTCCCAAATCGTATCTTAACGCCAGCCGTAACGATAGCACATGGCTTGTCCAAGCTGATAACGGCTTAACGGAAACTACAGTAGGCAGTGGCACGCAAATCGGAAATAGTACCAACTTTCAATGCAGGCCCTATATAGGCGCCTGCCGTTGAGAACAAAAACATCCACGGTGACATATGCAGGACGAAGTTTTTTTGATTCTCCGATGTTGATTGTCGCCACTGGGTAATGTTTAACGATAACAACATTGTCAGTGGCGAAACGTACAGTATCTATGGTGACCTCTTGAGCTCTCGAATAAGAAAGGGCATCCGTGCGAACTTCTTGTACATCGCTTTATGATCGATGTATTATAGAACGACTTCTATCTATGCCTGCGTAACAGGTGGGTTTCGTCTTGACTGCTAGGTTCTCTTGTAAATGTAATACTGCAATAATGTAGAGCTGCCTTACGCAGATTGATAAGGTCTAGGTTTTTTTCCAGCTACTGAGAGCGTCGAAGACATTACGAGAGCCGCAATTCGCGCTTGTACAATAATAAGTAAACGCATGTGACGGAGAACGACATATCTATTAAGATTGATAGCATATGTTTCTAAGGTGTGTAACAGTGTTATCAATTGTTCTTTAATAGAGTGTTACACTATGATTTTAATGGATTTCCCAAAAGCGCCTTTATTTCAGCAGGCTGTACCCGATCAGCGCAGTTCTACTTTAAGACTTAGATAAAAAATAATAGAACGTGTTGCAGTAGTTGTTTAATAAACCTATCGTTGAATTTTACCAGCGAGATGCGCCAGTCTGTTTCAGCCAGATAAGAGATAAGTAAGGAATCATAACTTATGTCTAGATCATTTATAACATTATTATCTCTATGAGAAGATACTTTTCGGTTGTCTTCATTACAAACACTCAACCACATGTACATATACAATCGTCATTATACCGGCCAATCAATTTCATCGACTGTGAATGAATATGAAGAAAAGTGTAAGATTCTCAAACACTGAGTGATCTATACCAAGATTTCAATCAACGGTCTTCTTTAACAGCTATAGACTTGCTTATCCTATAACAAGTGTCGCAATGAATTTAGCGATCCATCATGTCGAAATCTGTAAATTACTTCAGTTGAACAACTTTTCTTAGAAGATCAAGAAGATATTGCTCTCACGCGTTACTAATTGGCTCGTACAGCTGGTTCATTGCATGAGACAGACGATCAACACTGTTGAAGTGTTTTATCATTACATCATTATAATAAACACTTGTCAGTTTGTGAACCCATGCCAAAGTCAATCGGATCAACGATGTGCTAACAAAACAATCGGTCGTGTGCGACCGTTTCTTCCCTTGGCGGTCTAAGGACGTCTGCGAGTCCAGCCACTGTAGTGATATGATTCGCAATTTTACATCTTCCTGAGCTGCCCCCATTAACCATTGTATCTATTATAAACCCATACAAGCATCGATCATCATGTCAGAGGATCTAGGCTGTGCACCTGAAGTGTTTTATTGCTTGGTCGCCGACGGCTTGATAGTTCCCCATAGAGCAGCTCCGGAACCTGAATCTAGCTAGCACGATGCTTTATACTTTAATTGGCTCCTGTATCGTCAGTTTTAGGTCAAGAGCCGGTATGAGGTACCAGTACAGAGTAACAGTAAATATGAAATTGCCAGGCGGTGTTTATGGGAGCGCGGTCCATAGTTAGACCAAGGCTACAATAAGATTTACCGCTTTGTTACCTTACTGTAGTAAAAGGCCGGTCGTAAGGAGAAGTTCTAGTTTTTGTTTGTTGCCGTTAAGTTAAATTAGAAACTAATTAAACTGTCAAGCAGTTTATCAGTAGTAGCATAAAAAGTGCGAAATAAGTTTTTTTAATTTCTGAATAAGTAAAATTTCCGCACCGGTTGGAATGAATGATAATACCGTCGAACAACTGAGCCAGTTTGTTATCGTATGGATAAATAATGTAGTTGTGTGTAGTTTCCACTGATCTGATAGAGGTAATCACCATACAGATAGATTTCCATCGGGTCAAAATATTCGCCACATGGGTATCCGCCGGGTAGAAGTCGGAAGAGTCTGCCTTTTTCTTAATGGGGTGGGTAAACAGTTCAGCTACCGGCTCCCTCTGATGGCACAGACGGAAAAGTAGACGTTGACAGATTGCCAACAATAAAGTGCTCGTATTGCTTGTTTTGTTATGAGCTGGTTTGGAACCTAAAAGTGCCTCAACGTACCGAAGCAAAAATTTTCAGTCGCTTTAGCCTCGCGATACAATTTGCGCTAAGCAAGATTCTGTAATTAGCGATACCAATCCATTTTGTATACATTTCGAACTGTATACCCTGACCTATCCACGTCCTTCTACGAAATAACAGCGATATCGATATTCGTGCTGAAGTGCTCGGATCACGAATTAACGGTCAGCAGACAAATTAACCAATCGATCGAAAACAGATTATAGCTCAACAAATATTGTAGCACTGTTTGTAGACATCCATGTAGTTTCTTGCTGTTACGTGAACATTCATCTTAATCGGTCAAGTCTGTTAACTGGCCCGATCAGATGTTGTCCACATAATTGATTATTACGATTATTTACTGAAAATTATGTGGACGTGACTACTTCAAAGAGTCCTTTTCGCGAACTCACCAAAGCCTTCATGGCTATGCTGGATCTCGGCGCTGAGCACTAGTTAATTTCCCTTCTAATGTTATTTCATGAACACTTTATTCACTACACGACACCGGGATTAATCGGTCGTTCCTTTCACGATGGAGACCACAATAGCGACTGAGTTATACGCGCCACGAACTGCCTTCATAGGGCAAGACGCAGCTAGCTGATTTCGGCTAGCGCGACGCAAAACGTTGTTCTGAGGAGAGGCGTGCGGCCGACGTTTGGCCGGCGAGCGGCAGGGACCTTCGGTGGCGTGCGCCGCGGTCTGAAAAATTTGGATGCTTGATGTCAATCTGAAGTCAGCTTGTTGGACCGTTACCCCTCCAAGTATCTCGTATATTTGTCACGATTCGTAGAAATCCCCTCCCAGCGATCAGTATACCCCGTAATTATTCGAGCGATGAATCCCCCTTAAACACTAATGGGTGTGTTCCCTACGTGCCAGTATAAAATTACCAATGCAAAGGGTCTATAGAAGACGAACAGAGACATACAGAGTACTAACTAAAGTAAATATATGGGCTTGGTTCCAGAAGGACTCGATGTCTCAGGGCATTGAATGGTTGGAGAATAAAGCGCTACGTACGAACGGAAACGTACGAGTAAGTTTGAGATTTTAGACCAACACATATTCAAAATAGTAATGTGAAATTTCGGTTTACTTTAAGAGAGAGTTCTTATCGAACGAATCCTAGTTAATAAAGTAATTAAGATATTAAAAAGGTTAACAATGCAACAGTATTACGCTTATTATGGCTATTGACTCATGTTAATAAAGTTCTGCTTAAGAAAATACTGTTTGTGCACAGGTGTTAGTTCGACAGCTCATTTTTAGAGGGAGGTATAGTTAAAATTTTTCCTTGAGGTAAAGAAGGTACAAAATTCGAGTCGATGATTTACGATAATTGAACGGCTTTTTTTGCCAGAGATCGGACACGTTACCGGCCGTTTAGATATGATTTTCACCTGGGCGCAAGTACATAGCTACATCGCCACGGGAAACTAAACGTTCTTTTTATATATAAAATGATGGCAACCATCTGGAAGCCAATAATGTTTTCCACAATTAGCTCACAATGACAATATAGCTACATAATGCGTCATTGATGTTGAAGCTGTTTCTGCTGGCAGTTGTGATTGAAATTAAGTTTTACACATCCGTTACTACTTATACGTTTTGCGTGCTATGAAAATGCCATTGATATCTGAAGCAAGATCTGCTTTGAACTCTTGTAGCCGCCCACAATAAGAAGTTTTTCAATCAGTAATGGCTTTCCATACTAGAATCCCATATTCCTTAATTTTTCTTTATAATAGAAACGTTTAACGGCACACGCGCATAAATGTTCACAAACAAGTCCTTGGCATAAGTAAAAACTGTTTATGCGGCAATGGTTTAAATTCAAATAGAGCATACTTCAGTATCTAACAAAGCTAATCGATGTTATCACATGGAGCAAAATCATTGAAGTTCATCAAGTTAGAACTTTGTTTTAATTAGAAACTGTTTTTGCAATACGAAGCCCATGACTACAAACTGGCAACAAATGTAATCAATGACTTACTAACACAAGAGGTGACTTAAGTATTAAGTTTATTAGCATCAGCGACAACAATATTACAATCGAAAATCCCTATTCTTCTAAGATAGGCAAAAAAAAAGAAGAACTTTTAATGAAACGCGTTCAACCGGGGTAATCTAACTGACCATTATTCTAAGGTAACCTAAAAAAACCTTGCGGTCGTTTGCAGGCCCCGCCAGGCTGAGACTGAGGTCTGTTTTGCCATCTGTAGCGTACACAGTTGGAAGCTGTTTAAGTAGTCAGTTGCAACAGAGCGAAGAAGCCATTATTTTCTGTAATTACGTTTATGCGGGCTATCGCTGGTCAGTACCTGATCTTCTTTATCGTCAAAAAAAAAAGCGCGAAGGAGTCTCAACAGCAGTCCACTTACACAATATTATTAATCAAATCCGCTGAATAGCTTTCTTGGCGTAAGTTTTGTGAAGGATATATAGAAATATTGCTCATAGATGGTCTCAAGTCGCATTTCCCCAATTCTGTTCCAGATGCTCATGCTGTATGAACGATACGAGCTAGTATTCCAGCGACAAATTCCAAGTAGGTTTCGATTATCGACCTCTGATCGCTACCATAGCTAAGCTTGCGACGGCAACCGAAGCTTTGCCTATCGGCCTATTCTAAATTAAACCTATTCTAAAGACCTCCATGCACGTATCTACGGTTTCAGAGTTTAGAATAGAACAGCGGCCTTATTGGTGAAGTAGGCACAAATACAATTTTGAGATGTTAATATATCGAATGCAAAAGGTTCTAAGTTCTGCATACATCTCTGAAGGAAGCTCAAACAGCTCTCATACGATCCATTGGTGATACTTTACATTGTTTTTTGGTAATATAATTTAGAATTGGTTTATTACCAACTGTTAAGGCTCAGTATCCTCGCTAAAGATCTTGTTCAGCCCCTACTTTTCAGTTTAACCACATATATTTGCGTTGATCCATATTACCAGTTTAAGAGTGGGTCAAGGCTTGATACTTACAACTAACTGAGAGGTGCCAAAGGTTAGAAAAACGCGATATGCGTTCTAGGCTACTCCGACCACAGTGATGAAGCATTGATCAGCTTGCTGACAGCGTTCGATCGCTTTCGCTATAAAAAAAACGTCAAACATTTTCTTAGCGAAAAAAAAAGTTTGGCGATGATCATTTCGTTCCCTCATTCGAGAAATGCTTCACATGCCGTATCCGACTTGTCACCCCTTTGCCACCAAGCGCTTACCAAGCAATCCAGCCAGCCAAGCTTAATTTCTGTCGCATAAATATCAAGCGGTTGGGCGTATGGCATAGATTGTTAGGAAAGATCTCTCATAACTATGCGACTGATATTGCGAAGTGATTGCAATCATCTGTGACCCTTTATTGGATTACATAGGAGATTTAAATAAAGGTAAAGTGTTGTATACAAATTATGTAGAACCTGCACGGGCCTAACAACTCGACAATTTGAAATAGCTCTCCTTTTTACTTTAAATGTAAGTAGCGAAGGGAAAATTCGTCTGCTACGAACGAATGTTCTAGGTAGAAACTATTAGAGTGGCTTGAAAGCAAAAGAACTATGTCCCACCGAAATTATCAAGGATCGTCGATATTAACTGGATCCACAACGTATCTAGATAAGCCGTCGCTTTAAGCGTGAGAAGACAACTAACGGAAAACCGATCGGGTGCAATTATCTCAGATGAAAAGTGTGACGTTAGTTTCGCAGATCAGAGTTGAATTTTTGCAATACATTTGCTGGCTGCTGACGATTGGCTACAAACTGGCTAGGGACTACTGGCAACATAATAACTATAATAAGATTTTCAAGGTGACAAAGATTAGCAGCTCGAAATATCTCTCTGACGGTGGTCCCTTTACCAAAAAAATCCAGTCTAACACATCATACAGCAATGTCAATGTAACGTCTTTGCCCCAAACATGTATATACATAGGCATATATACAAATCTATATCGCTGAAACTGCTTCTAGCGGACTGCTATTTATTTGGCCTCATGTAGCTCTTTACGCACACATCTGAGCTACATTTATCTAAGAATTATGATATTATTTAAGTCGGCGACGTGCATCCTATATATATGTGTGTACGTATATATATAAATCGCACATAACCTATGGGTGGCTGTGCATAGCTTGGTAGTTCCCTAGTTTTTGTAAGTGTATTTAATAGTAATTTAGTTAAGTGGCCATGTGTTGCACTAACTTTATCAGCCCTAATGATCTCGTTTTTGATGGATTCGACCATTGGCAGCCCCTGCCTTTGAATCGCTACACGAGACTTACGAGAGCCGCCATGTAACCTCACACTCTTTTTACCAATGCCTGTTTCCGTCAATACGGTCGCCTGCCGCTTTACAGAAGCCGTCAGCACCAAAAGGGTGCCCCAAAAGCGTCCATATATTGCTACTGCTGAAATTTGAATCGTATGGCTTATGCTACTCTTTGTCTTGTCCGGAGGAATTCTGCTGTCATCCTGGATCAACAACTTCGATACCATAACGTGAAGAACGATAACTGGGCTATTTGATGTCGTTTACGTAATTTAGCCATGTGTTTATAAATTATTGCCGGCATGATACATTTCAGCGAGTTCGTGTAGCTTGTGAGCCTATGAATCGTTATTACCGACACTACTACTTCTGATGTCCGAGGTCAGCACTGTATTGGCTGTCGATTTTTGTTTCGAAACGACGAAGGTCATCATTGAGCGAAGTCAGTTGAGGTTTGTATCATAGCTGTTCGTACGGATAAAAAGCCACCAATGACAACTCCCCTAACGCCTTAGGCTTTCCGATTAAAGCAGTTTTTGATGTCGTGCTTCTCTTTCGTGTGACCTCGTCACTTTCGGCTTGGCAATTGATAGGACGACCCAGTTTATATGAATGGTACGTTTTCCGAAATCAACACATAATTCGGTATTGTACTATCGTTTCATTTGCGCGGTGTCGTTCGAATTTCTTCCGCGTTCATAAAGCTTTTCTGTGAACTATATATTCACTTGATCAAATTAGAAATTCGCCGAAAAATCAAAATAGTGAAAAGCTAGTTGACGTTAAAAGACTTTAACGAACTAAATAAATGAAAGCACGTAACATATAATAAACTCGTGTTTGGATTTTCCTTTAATTAGATAATGAGTGTTACCGTTGAGGGTATTGGGTACATGGATAGGTGTTCGTTATTAGCCAAACATTAGATACTTAACTAGGAAAGTGATAAAGACATACTGATCCAACAAGGAGAAGCTCCGTTATTGAAGCCAGACAAAATTCAATTGACATTAACTATGCATACGTAGTAGTTCTCATTCAGTTACAAGAGGCTCAAAAAAATTCTATAGATGCATATTACAGAGCGAACGGTGGAAAAACCTGTATATGACGTTGTTTTGGAGTGCTAAAGTAGTGAAAGGAACGTAGCCTTGAAGCTGCCTTCACGGTCATCAAAAATTATATTGTTGGACTATATATTGTTTCGAGCTTTCCACATATCGCTAGAGTTTGTCTGTTTGTTTCCCAACGAAGGGTCTACAATCACAACACACACAAACATCAATATAAGGGTTATAATAACGAAAAGTAATTGGCTACTCAACAATTTCCGCGAGTTTTTTTTTGTTTTCTGGCGATCTGGCATCATGAAGACGATGATCGACATCTCTGGGCAATCTAGCCCAGATCTAGTCATTCGGCTGCTGCTACGTCGCTACATGAAAGAGAATTAGGGAGATCTACAAACTTTTGAGGGACAGCCGCCTAGGGGGATAGGTACCTCGTTTGTTTACGTTTAGATGCTTAAAAGTACAGCGTGGCTCGATGACCCGTTTTTATGCTAACTCTTTCGATTTATTACAGAGATACAGAGACCCTCGGGCGCACGGGTATACGTACACAGGATCTAACAATGGGCAATTTAGTGCTCAACAGTTACAGCAACTAATGGAGGGCAGTTATCGATAATGTGTTGACTTTGAAACGATTTTTGCTGCACAGGCGGACATACGCATGATGGTCCCGGTGAGGCAAAATATTGTTCCATATTTTGCTTCTTTTATTTATGTCTAGCAACCATGGATGCAAACTGCGATATTTCATACGAACTTCTACACTATTGCTAATTGTTCTGTTGTTTGTTCTATTGTAGTAATATACAAAAAACCGCGTGCATGCCGTGTTTGACGGAGCAGATCCATGGGTACATATACATATCACTAAACGAAGCGTACCTGAACGGAAAGCTAGGCTCATTCACGTGTATCGTCAAGCGCCGACATATCAGAATTCAGCCGTTCTATATAGTGTTGATATAGAGTAACAAGTTTGCTAGTATTTACTAGAGAGGTAGAGTACACTTACTACCGGTAGTAAGTAGCCATCTCATACGCTGAAGCAAGTAGATGTTATCCACCGTAGGCTGGATTCGTAACTTTCAATATTCATTGAAGGTCGCTAGCTCTTCAAGCCGTTACCATGGTAGCCATGGGCATGCAGCCGCCGTCTGTTCAAATTTCGGAGTTGGCAAGTAGGTACTATGGCATATTGTTATCATGCCGCTTCGTAGAAGAAAACCCCAGACAAATCAAACGATACACGCCAAGAATAGTACCTAATGGCCCGAATATCAGACATGAAAAAGTCAACATTTGTGGAAAAATTGACTACAGCCAAAGCGCAATCGGGTTTCATTCATACGGAACGAAATGGAAGTAAGGCTAAAGTAAGGCTAATTTGTGTTTCATTCAAGAACTAACTCTACGCTAAAAAAGTCATTTCTCAAGATTCGACCCAAAGGTGATATATTATTCCTCGCCCAGTCTATCTAGTAGCCGACTAGAAAATACAAAGAAAAATAGTCGATTGTGCTGTACAAATCCTGATAAACAAATTTACCAATATGATAGATTTCAATCATTCCTCGACTTATTCTAAATTATTCTATCTTTAATGTATTTCCAGTCACGGGTTACCGTGAACAGGAGCAACATCGCTGGTAAGGCAAGCGCGTTCCATTTGGGCAACTCATGCATAGAATGGCTGTGTTAAAACGCACGCGTGAAAACGCTGGGCAAACCAAGTTAGTTGCTCGGCACAAATTCAGCATTTATATATATTGCCAGTCGTAAATGCGGGCTTTCCGGATTCCAAGGGCAGGAAGAAGGCAAGGAAAAAAAACTGCGAACTATACGAGCTACTACTACTGTTAACAAAATTGGACGCGGCACCAAATATCTTAACAACCGACCAAATTATCATAGTCCCCTTTATTTATTATCACGTCATCTAGTAACGCTCATGACGAGTGCCCAAAAGTTCGCTAGAAAATGCTCCACTTACCCATCGTTTGCTGTTTATGTTTACAGTGGCACAATGACTTTCTGCCTGTACTGATTCTGAAGGGGTCTATGATCCTGCGGCTAATCCCATAAAACCTATATCCATTTACAAACAGCTAAATAAATGTTTCGAGATTTACGTTCAGCACTGCCGCTTGGCGTTGCTTCAGATGAGTGTGCCTCCTTTCAACACGAAATGAGACGTATCTACGCCCAGTTTCAAACCTAAGCCATCTCACGCTTTTCTAAATCTAGATGTGCACCGTCCCTGGGAACCACGTACATACCGCTAACACCCCCCGTGTTGACATGACGCTAAAGCTTTAAACCATTCTGAAGGCTTCTACCCTGTAGAAGCTATGCAGCGCATAGCTTCCGTTATAGAGCAACCTTTGTCTTTGATCTTACTTTATATTCAATTGTTTTTCATTGGAAACAAGGAAACCTTCATAAGCAACTGAGCCATAATTCAAAACCGGCAATTATCCAAATGCTTTCCCTTCTAATTAACCTAAATGCGCGATCGCATCCTGACCTTGTGCTAGATGTCCTGCTTGTTGACTGGCTGGCTTAACACTGTTTTGTGGTTATAGGCTCTAAATGATTGGGTCAGTTTTAACATCTCTGATATACTGGTTAGTGAATATTGTCGTAGTGTATATGGGGGGCTAACCGCGTTTAGCGGTGCTTTTTGTCTATCGAAGTTCATCGATTGATCAGTCAAAAATTGGGTAAAAAATCTCCGATATGTTTCAACAATTGTGTGTGTTCCAAAAGAAGACAATGAGGAACACGATGAACTAGCCGGGTCACAGAAAAAGCTCGGGTGGTTCATGGCGTATGAGAACTCGAAAGATCGAAACTGGCGTTTAAACTGTTCAAAAACTAAATCACATGCGCCTAGAGTGATCGATCAGATACCAGCACTTGTTAGATTATAAATGTCAGCCATATATATATATACTGCGCGACATAAAAAGTTTAAAAAAATAGTGTCTTATCTGATTTATCGATATCGTTGTACTATTGTTTGTTATGGTTCCTTACAAATAAAGCGTCTGTAAGCATATTTATGAATCGGATGCCTACTTATGCCCTGGCTAAGTACGATTCATAATGTCGAATCTTTTTTGAAAAGCCCAAGTAAACAATACTTAATTTTGTACTTTGGCATCCACGGACCTGCCATTGTTCAACCTAAGATGTAGCAGGCTCAATAAAGATTTTAAAATACATCGTTGTTTCTCAGTGTTCTGGTTAGGCAACGTTAAAAACGTATCAGACGTTTGTTGACTATCAATTTCAAGGTTTTGGGTGTAATCAGTTAGTGATCTCGTGTTTGTTAACACCCACTTGTTTTGGGAAAGGCCTGGTCTGCTAAAATGCAACGTAAAGCTCTAGGGGCTACTACCAGGACTGTCGATAGATCATTTACTGGAAGGCCTAATGGTGATACCATGACGTAACACTCGAAAAATAGAGGTTTTAAGCGGATAGGTACTTTTTGAACAAGCATTTATTTACATGTCATCGAACCCCATTATTAGGATTTCTTGAGATGCGATACGGGCGCTTCAATCGCGTCCTGTTCCAGATATATTAACCGGAGCAAATTCTAAGTTCAATTGATTGACTTAGTGCTACCGCTAAGTAGAGTAAAAGATAGATACATAATAACTATACATGTACATAATGACCATTGCGGTTGTGGATTTCTCTGGCTGTTGCAAACACAAAGGCTTTTCTATGCTGAAATCGGAATGTACAAAAGCAATCGGCAAGGTTCACTTTAAATATCGCGGCAATAGAGATCCTTATAGTTATCGCATGTCCAATAAACAAAATGGCAATCGAATCACTCCCACAATCGGCCAAATTGTAACATCGCAAAAATTAAACTAGCCACTAAAATTATTGCTCTGTAGACTTGGGTCTAATGCTCAATAGAAAAAGAAGCTACTTAAAGTTCTCTGAATATAACTCTCAATAAATTTATAGTATATTTAAAGGTATAATTAGGAACAGGGTCGTCTGTTTCAAGAACGTTTCAAGTCGATCCTTTCCAACAGTATTCGCCCATAGTATCAAGAAAGTTTTCCCCTGATTTTATTTATCAACAAGTTAATTTTGATAATTGTGTAAACATTATAGTATAAACAAATTATAGTAAATAACAATATGTTTAATGTGTTCTACCATGTTCAACTTATTGAACATGGCTTCGTAACAACAGGCTCCGAAGTTCTCACGCTCACAGAAGCAGGGTGCCAAATATCTGTGTTATTTTCTCGGTAATTTCATTCGTCATGAGGCTTGCTGAGTAACGGCGAATTTTTCGCAGGAAGAAGATTTCAGAGTTACCGGCCATTTTAAGGTTCTGCCTTGCTGGATACAATCAGCTAGTGAAAAATGGTAATTTCAATACGTTGCCATTGTTGTTTCACCCTTTTATACACCGTTATAGAGAGCTTCTTGTAACTTTAATATCATTGAAATAGAGATCGAAAACGCATTGGGTATAACTGACTGCTGTGCTTCAATTGATACGGTACGCAGGAGCCAGCTGAATGACGAACGGACCTCGAACCAGGAAAACGGGGCGTTTCTGAGCAGGAGTGCGTCCAAATATCGTTATCTTCCAGTGTTTCTACATCTTGGAAAAATTTTTTAGACTTCTCTAACGGTTGTGTTCAGAAAAAAACAAAGGGTTTTGTAACATTGAATGTAATAATTTTCGCAGTTTCGCGCAAAAGGTCGCGCCTCGGGGTTCCCCTTAGTTTTACCTTAGATATAAACTAGCCTTTCATCGTCCGTATTTCACCATACAGTCTATAAAGTCGTTCCCTTACGCAAACCTCCCTGACGGCTGGCGTATGGCGATAGAATCTAATAAAATATGTAGACACCAAGAAACAAGTCTAATAGAGGTTTTTTTAAACAGGTTCACGTTGCACTATTATGTGAATTATGGTACGTTTCGTCGTCTATACCCTTCTTTAGCTCTTCCACGTACCTGATCTATAAAGACACGCTGATTATAGAATTTATCAGAGACTAAAAACGAATTGCTATAAAGCGCTTGAAGAGTGGTCCGCAATTAAGTGACCCGCGACCATAAAAAATGACCAAATATTTACGTGGATATTGCTTTGACATCTCAGAAAATCATGTACGACATTTTTTCATCTTATTAGTAAATACTATTTTTCTTTTTACCAAGTCACTGTCCTTGTTGACTCGAATTTTTCATGACCGTTTTATGCGTTCATCTAATAAATAAATCATCTGACATTGAGAAAATAGAAGCAGATTCGATTTTGACTGATGCCCGCGCATCTCGAAGCTTATACACTGTTTGGCAGACTTTCCTATTGTCTTGCCAAAAATTAAATAATAATAATAGCAGACGCTGGATTAGTTTTTCTGTGGGTAGAAACGGCTTAGGGTTTGGAGCTGTGAGTGACACGAATAGTCACGACGTGCGAGCCGAACAAGGGCAGTACGCCTTATAGCTGGATACAATCGTAAATAGGTATTATCGCGATCTAACAGTCAATTGGTATAGGTGCCATTTTAGCGGACGTTCTGTGACGCAGTACAAGTGCACCGCCGTATGGAGCTCTCTAATCTATATACTACATGTAGGCAATGTGTCTGGAATTGAGGGAAGACAAATGCCGCTTTCAGCCACCATGAACATGTTACTTAAGCCGGGTTCCAATGTATACCAGTTCCGCCGAAATCATTAAGAGGCGGTTAAAAACGAACGTAAACACACAGCAATGCTTTTTTTTTTTTTAGCCAAGAGACATAACCACCTCACCCTCTATGTAGATATCGACTAGATTTCTGGAATTATTCAGCGTTCCAGTGGAATTACTGTTTTTGCGAAATGTAAATCCAGTGGGATGCTTTGTCGCATGCCAAAGCGAACGAATCCGACCAAGTACCGCACATATGTCGCTTCGAAATAGATTAACGAATTGTCCAGACTTTTCCCTGTGCTTTTCTTTTGCGTAGTAAGCTGCCGAACGGGCAACTTGAAATTGAAGTAAGCGTTTTACTGCTTTTTGTCCAAGAATAATAATTACCGCTATAATAACCTGACTGGCATGGTCCTTAGTCATCCGAGTCTAGCCATGGTTTGTTGATTTTTAAGTACTAAAGCTTATCGTAGGCCTGGAAATTTGGCAGGCATAAATCTGTCCTAGAAAAACGATGTTGTCATCGTTCCTAATCCCAATGTAGTTGGACGATCACCGTGCAAACCTAACGGGTTCTAATAGCAAGCTGTAGTTATCGTTTCATCTATCTAGAAAAGTCGAGCCACACTAGAAAAAGTTTTTTTTGTGCATAAATTGGACCCTATCGATTCAGCTAAGGATTGTTCGACCATTGAAGCTAGCCGTTATACGGCTAACTTCATGGATCGAAATCTTGTTTAAATAGTTAGAAATATTATAGCATAAAAAACTGATATGCGAAGCAGAAAAAGGGTAAAGTTCTATAGATGCGTTAGATGCCTCGACCGGGCCCAGTAGATGTGTTCGTTCATAGGCCGCTGTTAATTCCCACTCCATTTTACCCCTAATGTGAACATAACCAGCTTGACCGCGCCGTAAACACTGATCATACATATATCATGTATCTACATACAGCGGCGCCAGAAAAAAGTAATACTCTTCAGTCGTACGAGACTTACGTACGACGACCATTAATGTACTAACTAGTAGAGACTGAATATCTGATCAGGGACGCTATGCTAAGGGAGCACAAACGAACTGGCTCGTTCGGGCCTGTATGCTTTCAAACAGTATGAGATACTTCCCTAGATGACTCATGTATAGCTATTGGTACCACTGACGTTGTGCGTCTGCTATAGAGAAGTACAGAAAAACACTATGCTTTGATAAACCGGCATATGGATGTATATTATGTAACTCGTAAGAATGATCGTGCCCGAAGTGCAATGTAATAAAGGCAAACCATATGATTGGCGTTATGAAGTCACATTATTTTCAAGCGTAATTTAGCCAGGTTAGCAAACAATAAGCTAGCCGATTATATAGAGGTATGTGCAATGGTCGCAGGCATGTGCGCTTCATAGTATCCCATGGTAGTGTCCAGAAGAGCCGCGAGGCTATGAGGCATTGCAGGCCGAAGGTCGGCCAGGAAAAACCTTACAGATATATACTTGGCCGTAGGTAGTTGCGGACTTGAACAAGGCCAATATTGATCGGCTAGAATTTTCGTTCTATAGGTAATAATAGTAGTGTATCATCGAGGAGCGTAACCAAATTCACCCTAACTACGATAGTATATCACAGTAAAGGTATGATAACCTCGCTATCTTTCCACATGAAATGTGTATGTGTATGCCCTTCTCAGCTAGAAGGTGTCCTCGCTGTTTTGTCAGATCTAGTCATGTTTACTATGTCAAAGTACTAGGTAGCCTACGTCTCGTGCATGCGTCCCTCTTTCTGCTAGTCGACAAACATTCCCTTTGGTTCAATATTGCGCGGTTGAATATTCTCTATCGAGTTATTCCACAGGTGTCCTTTTGTCGCGACCTGTTCGTTGCAGTGTTTTTAAACCGGTTTTGTGACGCCTTAAACCGCACGAACCCTCTTGCCGTATCTTATGCCCTATGCTTATACGTTTCAAAACTACCTGTGTTCATTGACTAAATAGATGAAATGACACCAACATATACGGCACTTGGTCCTTTATCTAAAAGAATGGCTAAAAGCAACTTTAATATTTTGCGACGGTAGGAAATGCTATAGAAAACACCAGGTTCGTTGTGGTGCCTGTCTTTAGATGAACCTAAATTCGTCTTCTCAACTGTTTGTTTAGGACGAGCTGCATAGCAAGCGGTTACCCAGACACCAGTGAAGTGTAAGATGGTGGCGACACGGCCGTTACCAGCGAGCAGAGCCATTTGGTCGTTAGATTAGCAGGTAATGTTTTCGTTTATGAGATCTGATTTAGCGTCGTCCGTCGGGCGTTCAGGATGAAGCAAATATACAACTTCTAAGTAAAAATTGTCCTAAATATGCTGCTAAGTAAGATAATTGGAAACAACGAAGCAGGGAATCGGAACAAGAGTTGCAGAAAGAACAGACTGAATAAATAAAGCATAACTGATACGTCTTTCCA